TTTCCCATGATTCCGAATTATGGGAAACCCATAGCCGGACGACTGCCCAAATCAAGCCGAAATTGCAGGTGTTTGGAAAATTCGTTTTTCCGGAACGGGCGAAGCTTGTTTATGGAATCGGCGACGCTTGTTTAGACCCCTGTTTCCCGAATTGGCGAAGTTTGTTTCCGGAACGGGCGACATTATTTCCAGAATGCCGGCGTTGCTTCCGGAACGCCGATATTGTTTCCAGAATGTTGGAATAGTTTCCAGAATGTTACCCATTCGTTCCGACGCCGTTTGTTCAGGACACGTTTGTCGAAGTTTTGATGTACCTTGGAGGGGAAAACCATATGGGCACGTATCCACTTGGAGCCCAGGAAAGCAGCAGCGGGCCATTGCGTCATTTAGTTGTTGTTTCCCTTCTCTACCTCCTTTGCAACGCTGGCACGTCATTCAAAGCGCGTGTTACCCCAATCATGTTCTGCGATGGCGTGTCCATGATGCGAGCGGTAACAGGATTCGGTAACGGAGCGTGGGTTTCCTTAATATGGAATTGATTGCTGTAGCAACCGCAAGGGTTTCAGTAATGATTGGGAAGCGTGTTTCTGTACACCGTCATATTCTGACCTATCCGGGACGATCTGATTCGAGACTGCGTGGGCCGTGGGTTTGAACGGTATTGGCGCAATTGCCGGCAAGGGCCACGAATCATATGCGCCAAGTCCATGACACATTTGCACAAGCGCAGGGAATGCAGTATGTGTTTTGTTAACTACCGTTGCGTCGGAATCGATTCGATTCGGCAAGCGCCCCTCCAGAAGACCAGGAGCGGGTGAAACGTGGCATCTGCCAAGTTGCAGCGCCAGGCTAAGCAGGTCCAAAGGATGAGAAGGAGGAGGAGGAAGGAGGAAAAGAGAGAGAAGGGAGGAGGAAGGAGGAAGGATGAAGGAGGAAGGAGCAAGGAGGAAGGAGGAAGGAGGGAAGGGGGGAAGGAGGGAAGGCTGGCCCCTTCGGAGTCTTCGGTGGCGCCTGCCTCGGCGGTGGTGTGTACGTCGGGCTCGGCCGCAGGGGCAGCCCCCTCTCGCGGGCAGCGAGCGGCTGCCTGGAACGAGAGAGACCCCACCGGAGGAGCCGCAGAAGGCAGGCACCCGTTGTGTACGAACAAGAACATTATTAGTTAACGGGCGAAGAACGGTGTATAATAAATTTTTTCGCCGTCGGGGACACCTGCCCCTGGGCGGCTGGAAAGTTTATACCCTTACGGTGGCACCGTAGGGGTATAAACTTTCCAGCCGCCCAGGGGCAGGTGTCCCCGACGGCGAGAAAGTTTATTTTATACCGTTTTTCGCTCGCTGAATTAGTGCGGTGCAGTCTTCCTTCGGGCGTTCCGTCTCCGTATCCGTGCACTTTCCGCGAATCGTTTCGCGTCGCGTGGATGTGTTCCCTCTTTCTACAGTGGAGACCCCTGCCAAGACACACCCTGCTCGCCTCCAGGGTGCCCTGGGTTTCTTGTGTTTCGACGGTTTTGCGGTGGAAGGCGTGACGTTCCCACACCAAGCATCGATGGACGTCTTGGGGTGGCAAGGGTTGGTTTTCTTGTGGAAGGTTTATTGTGGAGTGGCCTTCACTGTATCCGTGCACGTCCACGAATCGTTTCACATTGCGTTGATCTGTTCTCTCTATCCACAGCCGCGTGCCATAGCGGGCCTGGATTTCCTCAAACAACCCCATGGTGTTACGCGTAATCGGAACAGGGTAGCTGCGCACGTGGGGGGAGGAAGAAAAAAAGGAAGAGGAGGAGGAGGTGGCGGATAAGCAGGAGTGGGTGGGCCTTGTCAGAAGGCTCAGAAGGCCTCTGGCTTTCTGGGCAGTTGTCTGAGTTCCCTCCAAGGCCACAGGGCATCCCAGAAGACCAGAGGGCTTCTGGGAAGCCCCGCCGCCTTCTGAGAAGGTTTGCCCCCTCATTTCTTCGCTCGGCGCGACGAGTGGGGAAGGGACAGCACCGACATCACAACCGGTGAAGCAGATCTTCGAGGAACGAAAACCCGTTGAAGACAGCAGATTTCGAATCACGCGCAGATTTGTTGGATCGGCGCTGGGGCACCCCTGTTGGCGCCTCTGGCGCCACCCCCGGCGCGCTCCGCGCGCCAGGGGAGGGTGGGGTCGAGCACCGATTCGAGAAGTCCGCGCGGACCGCCGAGAGTGCATGCGGTCGGACCGAGGTATAATTAAGTCGGGCCTGTTCCCTACAGGGGGATTTTCGACGAAAAATAAGAAATACCCCAAACATACCCCAAAAAGGTATAAAAAAATCAAAAAATAGTCCCCAGATTATTTTTCCCAACCATCCTGTGGTGTTCGGTCCTCGTTTTGAAGAGACGGTGCCCCGCGTCTCCTCTCATTCCTCCTCTGCCCCCTCCTCCCTCCTCCCCCTCCGCGTCAGCCACACCCACTTCGGCACACCCCTCGCACGTTCCGTGGCCCCATAAGGAGCTCCACCGAGGGCTCCAGTGGCTGCGTTCGCATGGCGGCACCGCACCCATTTCGGGACACCCCTCACACGATTCTTGGCCCCATAGGGAGCTCCACCGAGGGCTCCAGTGGCTGCGTTCGCATGGCGGCACCGCACCCAATTCGGCACACCCCTCACACGCTTCGTGGCCCCATAGGGAGCTCCACCGAAGGCCCCAGTGGCTGGGTTCGCATGGCGGCACCGCGCCCATTTCGGCACACCCCTCACACGTTTCGTGGCCCCATAGGGGCTCCACCGAAGGCCCCAATGGCTGCGTTCGCATGGCGGCACCGCACTCATTTCGGCACACCCCTCACACGCTTCGTGGCCCCATAGGGAGCTCCACCGAGGGCTCCAGTGGCTGCGTTCGCATGGCGGCACCGCGCCCATTTCGGCACACCCCTCACACGTTTCGTGGCCCCATAGGGAGCTCCACCGAGGCCCCAGTGGCTGCGTTCGCATGGCGGCACCGCACCCATTTCGGCACACCCCTCACACCCCTCACACATGCACCCATTTCGGCACAGGGAGCTCCACCGAGGGCCCCCGTGGCTGCGTTCGCATGGCGGCACCGCACCCATTTCGGCACACCCCTCACACGCTTCGTGGCCTCATAGGGAGCTCCACCGAGGGCCCCCGTGGCTGCGTTCGCATGGCGGCACCGCGCCCATTTCGGCACACCCCTCACACGGTTCGTGGCCCCATAGGGAGCCCCACCGAGGGCCCCAGTGGTTGCGTTCGCATTGCGGCACCGCGCCCATTTCGGCACACCCCTCACACGGTTCGTGGCCCCATAGGGAGCCCCACCGAGGGCCCCAGTGGTTGCGTTCGCATGGCGGCACCGCGCCCATTTCGGCACACCCCTCACACGGTTCGTGGCCCCATAGGGAGCTCCACCGAGGGCCCCAGTGGTTGCGTTCGCATGGCGGCACCGCACCCATTTCGGGACACCCCTCACACGTTCCTTGGCCCCATACGGAGCTCCACCGAGAGCCCCAGTGGCTGCGTCCGCATGGCGGCACCGCGCCCATTTCGGCACACCCCTCACACGTTTCTTGGCCCCATAGGGAGCTCCACCGAAGGCCCCAGTGGCTGCGTTCGCATGGCGGCACCGCGCCCATTTCGGCACGCCCCTCACACGTTTCGTGGCCCCTTACGGAGTTCCCTCTCATTCGTTCAACCTGCTTTGCGGTACTCGTAGCTGCATATGGTTGGGTCCATCGCCAGGATAATTGTATTATTTTTCATTGTTTTGGGGTATTTGAAATTTTTCGTCGAAATCCCCGTGTAGGGGGACAGGCCCGACTTAAAGGTAGAAGAGAGACCGAGGTGGGCTCGCGGAGGGTACCTCGGTGTTCTTCGTGTCTGTTGGATGCTCTTGCGATCTTAGGGGAGGGTACCCTCGAGTGATCTCGTGGTCTGGGGTGTTCTTGGCAGGCGGAGGGCCTCACGTGCTTGAAGCACGTGATTCTGCCTGGCCGCTGCCCAGGGGCGAAGGGCCCGATGCCTCTGGCCGGCGGTTCGCCTGCTCTCTGGCGCGCGCGCGGTGCTGGTGCGCGCGCGCGCGCCCCAAAAGGACCCTGACCCACAACCCAGGCACGGTGGCCACAACTCCCCTGACCCATAACCCAGGCATGTTAGCAACGCGGCCCGTGACCCAGAACCCAGGCAGGGTGGCCCCGAGGCACCTGGCCTATGGCCCAGGCATGGTGGCAGGATGACCCCACCACCCAAAGGGGACATTGGCTGCTGCTCCCTGCAAGCGCGGAGTGCAGCATCACGCCTGTTGCGCGTGTGCCAGCCTGCCCTCTTTCCGCCCGAGTCTTCCCCTCAGCTCGTTGCGTGTGCCAGCAGTCCTCGCGCTGCCCGCCGGCTGCCAGAGCGCGATGTGCGTTCGCCCTCGCCGCTGACCAAAAAGCTCCGGCGCGATGGAGGCGGTTTGTCTTCGTTCTCGCTCGTCGGGTTCTTGGAAGGTCGCGGAGGAGAGGGAGCTGATCAACTGCGGGCTGCGCCGATTGTCACCGACGCGCAGCTGACACAAGTGCCGACCAGGCCCTCTCGGGCCGGGAGCTGCCAATTTGTTGCACAGTCGTCCGAGATTTTCCCTGGACGGCCCAAGACGGCCCCAGAACGGATTCCCAACTGGCACCCCGAGAGCTAAGACAGGCCAGCGATAGCCCCGAGATGCCCCAAGAAATATTCCCAAAGGGGGGGGGGCAGAATGCACGGAGGCGAAAAGCACTCATAAGACATGTGGTTGTTTTGATGCTTGTAAATTCCAGAAAGAGCCCCATGAAGTTTCCAACGCTGTGGTTGCTTCAATTTCAGCTTCGGACCCCCTACGAGGCCATCAGCGAGCTCTAAGTGACCCCAGACAGGCCCCGAGGTACTCGCATGTCTGCTATATGTACCCATTTTGGCTCAAGTTATTATTTTTGTTTTGAGCAAAAGGTGAGCGTGATTTGCAATCGTTGTTCATTATGTTGTTCGTACAATTGTTTGGCCCATGATCGGACGCAGTTACCGCCTATTACAGAGACTGCTGCCTGGTAAAACATTACGGGTTTTCAGACGATGTTCGTTGCCGATCGTTGGATCCAGTATCCTCACGGTGTTCAACATATGTTTCTATGTCAGGACTCGTACAGGTGAAGTTGGCGATATCGCTGCGCAGTCGCAGCCGCTCGGGGATGATCCACTGCTGACTCCCCCGCTGGAGAAGAAGCGGCAAGCGGAGGGCCATCCAGAGCCAGCTGCCGTGAAGGGTGATGTTCTTCCCCTGCTTGCTCCAGTCGCGCCAGCTGCAGTGAAGGGCGGTATGCTTCGCGTGCCAGCGCAGGCACCGACGCCGACACCGGCGCCTGCACTGGTCGCGCCAGCAGCGGCACCAGCACGGGCTATGCCCGCGCTTGCCCAGCAGACCGCAGGGCCAACAGCCGCGCCAGCACCCCCACCAGGTATTGAGCTGATCGTATCGCAGTTTCGCTTGGTGCCGCTCGCCGCGGGCACCTTCGCAGCATTCACCCCGAGAGCGAACGTGTCCGAGGAGAGCCTCCTGTCCCCCGCGCAGGGCGTGTACGAGATGATGAACCTGTCGAGCGCCTGGCCGCGCCTCGGGTACTGCCGCCGTGGGCAGAGCCTGCTGCCCCAGATCCCCGACAGCGTCTGCGACTGGCGGGCGTGTGTGGAGGTCGACGGGGCTGGCTACGGCGTCGACCGGCTGCTTCTGGGGCGCCGCGCGGCCGTGGAGCAGAGCACCGAGGGCTGCCATCCGGTCGCCGGGGGGCAGACGGCTCGCGGGCACGATGTCGGGGGCCCTCCGCTGGTGAGCTTCGTTTACACCCTTCACAACAACCCGATCATGTCCTCCAAGGCGCTGCTGGCCGCGTTCCGCACCGCGCACGAGGTGTCCAGCGCGGAGTTCGTGCTCCTGGACGACTGCAGCAGCGAGGACATGACGCCGTTCGTCGGCGTCGCAGAGACGCTGGAGTCGGTGTTCGGCACGAGGATACAGAGGTGGCGGACGCCAGAGTCCCTGGGGTATACATTCGCAAACACCGTGGCTCTAAAGCTTGCGTCGGGCACTTACGCGTGCCTGATGAACAGCGACGTGTTTCCGTTGCCAGGGTGGCTGGCCGCGATTTTCCACACCTTGCGAACGTTCCCTGGAGCGGGAATCGTAGGACCTCTGCAGGTGAGTCCGGACGCCCGCGTCATGGAGGCCGGCGGCACCGTCTTCAGGCAAGGGCACGCTTACAACATCGGGCGTCGTGCGTGGCCGTGGGAGTTACCCTATTTGCATTCTCACGTGGTGGACTACATCTGATGGGCCAATTTTCCACACCACTACCATAGGTGTGACGGGGGAGAAGGGAGGATGGGGAGGTCCTCCTCCTCCTCTTCCTCTTCCTCCTCCTCCTCCTCCTGCTCCTGCTCCTGCTCCTCCTCCTTCCTCTCCTACCTATGGTAGTGGTGGTGGAAAATCGGGCCACCAACATCAGCGCAGCCTGTATAATTTTCGATCGCGCGCAGTTCTTGGCGCTCGGCCTTTTCGACCCGCAGTTTGCGCCGGCCTACTTCGAGGACACCGACGCGGCGCTGGTGATGCGCCAGTCGGGGAAGCTGGTGGTGTCGATGCCCCTGGCGGTCGTTGTGCACAGCGAGGGGGGTACCTACCACAGCCCGAGGAGCAAAAAACTGCACGAGCATTGAACTTTCGGAGCTCCGCGCGGAGTTCTTGGATGGGCGCTTGGACCCCCCGTCGAGGCGCGCGGAGCGCCCCAGGGGCGGCGCCAGAAGCACCGCCAGGGAGGGGGGTCCAAGTGCCGGTCCAGGAAGCTCGCAGGCGCCTCCGAAAGTGCATGGTCGAGTGTGCCGTGTTTCGATCCTCTCGCGGCGCCAGGAAGGAGGCGCTGATGCGGGCCAACGAGGCGAAGTTCGCGGCGAAGCACGCCGGCGCGCTGGACCTGCACTGCCCTTCGCCGAGGGGCTGGGCCCAGACCTGCGGGGACGCGCGGGACATCACGAGGGCGGTGCACTTCAACGTGATCCGCCGCCAGGGCGCCCAGGTGCTGATCCAAGACTTCAGCCTGCCTCAGGTGGACCAGGCCAGAGCACAGAGCGACTCCTCCGACGCGATTCTGTTCGACGTCGACCCTAGTCCGACCCCGACCTCGGTTCACTTTTGGGTTCTGGTCTGGGCTTCGGTGTCGCAATGGATGCCGTACTGGCCTGTCGATTTCCGCCGATGCGATTGATTTCGACCGCCGATCCGACTTATCGATTCGATTCTGGGCTCTCCTGCCAGGACTCCAGCTCCGTCCGGATGAAGGAGCTGATCGAGATCATCATAGGCATTTCGAGGAAGAAAAAACGGCAGTAAACATACATTTTCGGAGGTCCGCGCGGATTGGTTGGATCGGCGCTGGAACCCCATCCCTGGCGCGCGGAGCGCCAATCCAAGCGGGCGCCAGGGAGGGAGGGGGTTCCAGCGACGATCCAAGCAATCCGCGCGGACCTCTGAAAGTTTACGTTCCCGGACATTCGATGTCTTGTTTTCTCCGATGCGGCGCCCTCAGAGGTCCCGACCATTTCCCCAGGGCACGCTCTTCATTCCGAGTCGTTTTTGACGGTCTTGGGGCTTGGCGAGGGCCCCCAGAGGCCGAGAACGGCCAAGCACTTTCTGCCGTGTTTTTGTTTGCAGACGCGAGCGCGTCTGAGATTTAGCGCTTCGCTCGAGGATGTCACTCTAAGTGGGATCCACAGAAGAGCCCCACAGGGAGCACGGTGAGCCCCCAGGCCGCCTGGTCCAGCAGCCCTTTCGTCTTCAGTTTTCCTACAGCGCATTCAGGACTTGCGGTCTCGCCTCAATGTCGGCCACATGTTTGGTCCAGACGGCCACGAGTAGAACTACAGGAAGGTACCCATGGCCGTGCTCTCGCTCCTGTCCTGGCGACATCTTTTCTGTCTCAGGGTCTTCCCATCGTCACGTGTTTCTCTTGTTCCTCGACCCGCCTCTTCACCTTTGCTGTTATTAGAACGTTATGCCAGGGATTTGGTTTGCCAGTGTCGGGGCCCGGCGAGGGCCCCCTGAGGCCAACCGTGGCCAAACATCCGCCGTCGTGTCTTCTGTTGTGTGCCACGACTCTGTGTGGCTCTCCATGGGAGCCTCAGAGGGTCCCACCGCTCCTTCCAGTGCAGGGGGATTTCGTCGGAATCGGTCGGCAGTTGGGCGACACCTGGACGCGCAGGGGTCAAGAGAGGCGGTCGAACCCTGGACGAGGTCCGGCCGAAACATCGCGCCTGCGACGGGGCCGCCGGGGGCCCCCCCGGCGGAGGCCCCCGGGAAAGGCCCGCCCGGGCGACGCGAGCGCGTGCTGGGCCGCTGCCGCTCCCTTTGCCTCCCCGCCCGAGGCATGGGCTACGGGGTGGCCCTGCAGCCGGAGTCCGGACAGGGCTTCCTGAAGTACGTGCTGCCCCTGCTCGCCCTGGGCGTGCACGTGCTGCCCCCGGGCTCCGTGGGGCGGCTGTCGGAGCAGGCCTCGCGCAGTGCCAAGCCCCGGCCTCGGATCCGCCGTGCTTGGGCGACGTCGTGCGTCGACGGGCGGCGACGGACGGCGACGACGGCGGCGGCGACGGCGGTGACGACGACGGCGCCGGCACAGATCCGCCGCGCGCGGAGGGCATTCACTGAGTCTCCACCTTTCCTACCCCTCGAGCCCCAGTTCGCTGATTTGGTGATCTCCTCGAGGGGCCAAATCACCAGTTGGATCCGAGGCCCAGCCCTCTCCCTCGAGGATTCAGAACCGTCTTGCCCCACTGATGTTCGGGCCGTCTCTTGATTCGGAGGCGGTGCACCTTGTGCTTTTTGATATGCCAGCGTCTCGATTTTCTTTCGCGAGTCCCGGGTGGTGTTGCAAGCGGTCCTCATTGTACAGTGGGAGCCCATGCGATGCGGGTTCCCCTTGAGTTAAACAGGAACTGGGAGAGGAAACACACGAAAGTTCCAAAACAGAGCTCACGTCTATTAAATGTTGTGTTCCCGAATATGTAGTATATGCTTGTTCTCTGGGAAGAAATTGATGAGAGATGACTTCATAGAAACTCATCTTATGTTTAACACATCGCTTCATGCTGAGATGAAATGTCGCTCTTTCTTGTGAAAGTCAGTCTTCAACTAGGCGCCGCCGTGGGCGCGGAGATATTCGAAAGTTTGATGCACGTTCGCAGCCAGGAGTGAATGCGCAGTCTGCGCAGCGCCACTGCAGGCGTGCTCTATGCGAGGGCTCGGATCGAATGAGTTCCAAATTGCTTCAAAGGGGGGTGGCCTCCGGTTCCACTGGTTACAAAACATGGCATAAACATAAATTGTCGGAGCTCCGCGCGGATTTCTTGGATCGGCGCTGGACCCCCCTCGCGGCGCCTCCTGCGCCGCCCTTGGGGCGCTCGGGCAGTGCCGAGCTTTGTCTTCGGATCCGCCGTCCTGTAGGCGACGGTGCAAGTAGGATGGACATTTCCGCCCCACTTTTCCTGCTCCTCCGCCCTGCTCAGCCGTCGCTGCCTGCGACGGCCGCATACTTGTTCAGAAAGAAGCCTCGCTTTGCTGAGGCGGAAAGTTCCGCCCAGCTTGTTTGCATCGTTCTGGGTGCATCTCCGACACCCCTGCAAGTCGGAAGGACCACCAGAGCACGGCGGATCCGAAGGCGGGAGCGGGGGTCGCCGGCTCCTCCTGGAAGCCGGGGATCGGGGAGGATGGAGGATCGGGGATCGAGGAGGCTCTGGGCCCAGGAGGGAGGGAGGATCGAGGAGGGAGGATCGAGGATGGAGGTTCGGCCCCTTCTTGGGGGGCTTCGGGGGGGGCCGAAGGGGGGGGGGGCCTCTGCCTCAAGGGGCCGGCGGCTGCCCCCGAGGCGAGGCTGCGGGCACCCAAGGGGCAGCCGTCGCCCTGCCTCCCCCCCATCTGGGGCGGGGGGATCACGGGGAGGAGGGAGGGAGGGGGACGGAGGGGAGGAGGGAGGGAGGGGGGGGGCAAGCTAGGTGCGCTCGCGTCATATCTGACGTCCTACCCCTCCCTCCCATCCCTTACCATGGCGCTGATTTTCTCTATCCGCGGACGCGTGTCGTAGCGGACCTGTGGCTCCGCGCGCGCGTGCGTAGTGGGTGGTGGTGCACGTGCGTGCGTGCGTGCGTGTGTGCGTGGTTGTCGTGTGGTGCTGGTGCTGGTGCTGGTGCTGGTGCTGGTGCTGGTGCTGGTGCTGGTGCTGGTGCTGGTGGTGCTGGTGCTGGTGTGGTGGTGCTGGTGGTGTGGTGGTGGTGGTGGTGGTGGTGGTGGTGGTGGTGGTGGTGGTGGTGGTGGTGGTGGTGGGCGGTGCGGCGCGGTGGTGGCGGGCGGATGGGCGCGCGAGAAAAAGGCCCGCGCTGGGGCGAGAACGCCATCGTGAACGACGGAGGCCAAACACCGATCCGAAAATGAGGCCCACGCTGCAGCGGGAGCACGATTCGGAACGATTCGGGAGCAGAAATGAGGCCGGCGCCTCAACGAGAGCAGCATTTTGGGGAAAAATGACGCCGGCGCCTCAGCGAGAGTCGTTTCCCGGGATTTCCCGGGCATCCTGTGTGTAAAAAAATACGCCGAGGGTGCGCGGCCATCACCCGGACGCCATCAGGGGAAGAGGGGGAGTATTTTTATATTGAGTAACTGTGGAGGGAGGGGAGGGGAGGGGAAGAGGGGGCGGGGAGGGAGGGGGAGGGGACCTGAGGGGAAGGGAGGGAGGGAGAGGGACCGCGGCGAGCCCGAGGTGGAGATGAGAAGGGGCGGGCCTTCTCAGAAGGCTCGGGAGACCCCTGGCCTTCTGAGAAGAAGTTTTCCTAGCCTCCCCCGAAGATGCCGAAAACCTGTCAGAAGGCCAGAGGGCTTCTGAGAAGCCCCGCCGCCTTCTGAGAGAGCCTCATTCGCCGCCGAGGTACCCTTGCATCCGTGCCTCTGCGGTCCATCCTTGACCACTTTCGGCGGCCAGCCCCGCTCAAAAAGCTTCGAAATGGGCGTCCACGGGGCTTGCCTCCTTCTCGCGCATCTTTGCCAACAATCTTGACTGTAGGCATCCACGTGTGAACCCTGCCCCTGCAGGCCAAATGTTTGAAGCGCCGGCTGGGATTCGGAATTCGGATGATGCCTGCGGCCAAGTGAGACCCCAGCAGGGGGGTCCGATTTTCCAGCGGCGACTGTACCCGCAGAGGAAGGGTTTGCAATCGGTCGCAGGTCCAGGGGTGTCTCTGGAGAGGCACTAGGACAAGATGGGGACGCTCGCGCCATATTTGGCATCCTGATTGCGCATTCTTGCTATCATTATTGACTGTAGCTGCCCTTGAGGAGCGATGGCAATCCAGGATCGGGGAGGCATCGAGGAGGGTCGAGGAGCACCTGGGGAACGGAGGGATCCAGGATCGAGAAAAGGTCGAAGGATTGGAGAGGGATCGAGGATCTTCACTGCATTCAGGATCGGAGAGGGATCCAGAATCGAGGAGGGATCGCATTCTTGCTCTCAATTCTTGACTGCAGTTGGGACCCTCCTCGACAGTGCCCCGCGCAGGTGGACGGCAAGGCCGACCACGGGCTGGCCATCTGCCCGTGGCAGGTGGCCATCCTGTCGCGCCGGGCGGTGTTCGGCTCCGCAGTGGGGCCCCTCAGGAGCAGAGGAGGAGAATCCTGAGCTCCTTGTCATCGTCGTCGTCGTCCTCTTCTTCTTCGTCCTCCTCCTCCTCCTCCTCCTCCTCCTACTCATTCTCCTCCTCCTCCTCATCCTGCCTCATCCCCTCCTCCTCATCCTCATCCCGCTCTGGCACCCGCTGATCATGGCAGCGGGTGTCCACCAGGACGTGGCGCGTGAGGGAAGGTCTCGCCAGAACACGTTAAGGCCTCCACGTGTCTGCGGGCGACGCACCCTTGACCCAGACCCCGGGAGGGCCACGCGGCGCAAATAATTTCATGCCCCCGGGCGGTGAGGGGAAAAGGGTGAGAGCAGGCCTGGAGGGAGTATGTGGCAGACGTATAACCTCACCAAGCCTTTAAGAACCTACCGCTAAGTTCTGCTAGCTCCCGCTAAGCTCTGCGAGCTCCCGCTAAGCCCTGCTAAGCAAGATGCTTGCCTGCGCCCTGCTAAGCCCATGCCAAGCCTTGCTAGCCCCTGCTGAGCGCTGCTAAGCCCTGCTATCCCCTGCTGAGCCTTGCTAAGCCCTGTTCGCCCCACTAAGCTCTACTGAGCCCCCTGTTCAGCAATGCTAAGCCCTGCTCGCCCCCTGCTGAGCCCTTCCCGCCCCTGCTAAGCCAAAGCTTTGCTAATCCCCGCGGAGCCCTGCTAAGCCCATGCCAAGCTTTGCTAGCCCCTGCAAAGCTCTGCTGAGCGCTGCTAGGCCCTGCTATCCCCTGCTGAGCCTTGCTAAGCCCGGCTCGCCCTTCCCATCTCTTCACATCGCGGGTCTCTGGTTGCGGGTATCTCTTCGACGATTCTCCACTGCATCTCTTGGCGCCAGGCCTGGCGGAACCCCGCTGGGCCATCTCACAGTCGCATTTCATTCCTCCGTCATTCGGTTCTTATTAATATTTGCACTATGATGGAGTAGTCTTACTCTTATTCGAAGTAGTATTCGTACTCTTACTATTATGTTTATTCTATTTTTCTATTCTAGCATTTTTGAATTGTCTTCGTATTATTAAGTTTAATCGTGGTGTACTATTGTTCGCATTCTCATTAGTTTTATGATTCGCATCGTACTCTCATTCGTAGTATTATTGTTCGAATTCGCATTCGTATTATTACTCTATCATTATCATGATGTGAATTATGATGCGCATTCGAATGTACACTCGCATTTTGACTCTTACTCTATTTTGACTCTTACTCTTATTGTTAGTAGTAGTGCAATTTTTTAAGCATTCTTTCTCGCATCCGTATTATTACTCGTATGCGCATTCGTATTCGCATTCTTATGTAATGCCCATTCGCATTCTTACTCGCATTCCTAGTTCAACTATTGTTGCATTGTTTCTTATTAGTATGAATGTTCGAACTCTTTGTGCGGATTCGTACTTGTTATGCTTATTCGCAGTATTACACGTTATTACCCCAGTATGTTCTTTTTTATTTGAATCAGTATTATTGCCGTTATTGAGATTCTTCTTATTATTTGCATTCTTACCCTTATACGCATTCGTGCTCTTATTTGTATTATTTTGCGTACCACGTATTCGTAGTATATTTCTTGATTTTATTCATATTGTGTGTCGTGTTATTATGATTCGCTTTCGCATTCTTAATATAATCCGTATTCGTTTGATTATTCTCATTCGCATTATCATTCTTACGATTCGTAGAATTACTGGTATTTGTCCCACCCGTATGGTTACTACTATTGTTTTGTATTCGCATGAGTATTCGTACTAGCCGTGATCTTGTATGCATACTATTATTCTTCTTTCTCTCATTCGTACTACTAATTGTAATCGTTTTCTCATTATCCTCACACAGAGTATCGTTATTATTGTGATAATCCTGCTCAGACCAACCCACAGTTAGACTCATTGTGTGTCCATTCCTCGGGCTCTCTGGAATTTCTGCGTCCCCGGGTGCTAAGAGAACGCTCCTGTGCGGGGAGGAGGACGATACCGTGGGATGGACCCCCCCCCCCCCTTAGGACGGCCCACGAACATCAAGTTCCCCGAGGGGATTGCAATGATAATCCCAGAGGAGGAGGAGGAGGAGGAGGAGGAGGACGTGCTTTCAGTGCTCGGCATGTTGCTCAGACGGCAGTCCAGCCGCAATCTGTTCACCTCTCACAGTCGCATTATTTCCTTCCGTCCTTTCCTCCGTATTCTATTCTTCTTCCCATTATTATGAGCAGTCTTATTCTTATTCGAGTTCTTATTCATACTCTTGCTATTGTGGTCATTCTGATTCTTATTATAAACAATCAGAGCATCATTCGCCTTATTACTTTTATTCGTGCTCGTACTATTGTTCGTAGTCTGTTTTGTATTCCGATTCGCATTCTTACTCTTTTGCGAGCTGTTATTCGCATTCGAATTTCTATGTGTAGTATTACTCTTATTATGAGTAGTAGTGCTAGTATCACTCCTAGTGTTATTCTGATTCGTATTAGTATTCGTTTGCGAATTCGGCTTGGCATCCTTACGCGTATTATTACTCGTATTCTTTTCTTGCGTAGTATAAGTAGTACTACGGTTTCTTTTCTTGCGATCGTGAGTTTACTAACTATGTGTTCGTATTCGTACGTATTATGATTATCCGTAGTATCACACGTCTGTAGCATTACTACTAGTAGTATCGCGATTCGAATCATTATGATTACCGTTCCTCTGATGATCCTAATTGTTCGCATTCTTACTCTTATGCGCATGCGTTTTCTTATTCGTATTAGTGTGTATACTACTTTTCCGTACGCTACGTATTGTCTTTATTCGTATTAGTTGTCGTTATTGTATTATTATTCGCACTCGCCGTCTTAATAGGTTTCGTTTTCGTTTGTATTACTCTTATTAATACCCGTACGGTTATGATTATTAGCCTTCTTATTTGCATGACTAGCATTGTTAGCAGTGCTCACGCATGCATAGTCGTATTACTATTGCCCGTATTATTATTATGATTGTTACCCGTGCTCTCATTATCGTCATACATATTGCCGTTATTATTGTGCTACGTCTGCTCAGACTCACTCATAGTTAGATTCATTGTGCGTCCACTCCTCGGGCTCTCTTGAATTTCTGCGCCCTCGGGTGCTAAAATAACGCTCCTGTGCGAGGGGGGGGGGGGGGCGATGCCGCGGGATGGGCACCCCCTAGGCCGGCCCACGAAAAGTTCCCCAAGGGGATTGCAATGATAATCTCAGAGGAGGAAGAGGAGGAGGACGAGGACAATCCCAGGCTCTCGGCCGCGAGCGCGCACCTCCCCCCCTGATCCCCCTGGAGGGTTCCCCGGCAATTCCCGACGCTTCGCTCACCCCCACCACCCCATCCAGAGACGTCCCCAGCAATTCTTGACGCTTCGCTAATCACCACCGCCCCATCCAGAAACGACGCCCAGGCGAGTTGAGGCGACGAGGTAACCCCCTCCTCGAAGGGGGAGAAAGGGATTGGAAGAGGAAGCGCTCTAAACCACATGCGCCCTAAAGGGCTGGTGGGGGGGGGGCCCTTAAGGAGCTCCAGAGTCCCCTTTCCTTTTCCTCCTCAGTAGCCGTTTTGGGTCAAGAGGGCTCCAGAGAGGTCAGTTTCCCACGAATGCGTCAGCTCCGCACTGGCGCCCCCCCTTCAGGGACGACGCGAGGGTTTTCCAACGCGCGTTCAGATGCAGGACGACGCGGAAGTGGACCAGCCACAAGGTCAGTTCTTGAGCCGCTTCGGGCCACCCGGCAGCGCGCCTTTTCCAGGGGGGCCCTTTCTGATTCCAGTCCTCTCGGTGCCTTGGGCGCGTTCCAGTGCTCAGCAATTTGCTCGGACCGCAGTCCCTGGGCGTGCTTTTTCAGCGTTCAGCATTTTGCTCATACAGCAATCCACCTATCAATTTTCTCAGCGTTCGCAGTCTGCTCGGAGTCCAATCATGATCAGTCTGACCACGCGCGTACCCAGCCCTTCCTCCTTCCCCCTTCCTCCCTTCTGCCTTCCTTCTCCCCCCCACCCTCGCTCCTCCGTCCTTCTTGCCCCTCCCTCTTGCTCTTGCTTCTCCTCTTGTCCCCTCTTATCATTATTATTATATGTATCATTCTTCCTGTTATTACAAATCATCGTGGACGCATAGGGAACGCGAGCGAAGGCCCCAGCGGCTGCGCCCGCGTGGACACGCGGGCCCATTCTGGCGCACCCCTCACGGCTCCGCACGGAGTTCCATCGGAGGCCCTGCCGGCCGCGCCCGCGCGGGCCTCTTCCGGCGCGCCCATCGCTCGCTTCGCGGCCCCATGGGTGGTCTTAGTTCGTAGACTTCCTGTGGAAATCCTTAGCGCGCCCAAGGGTAAACTTAGATTTTCCGAGGAAGCCCACGTCGCTTCATCTGGAAACGCTGCGCGTGTTTTAGGGAATCTTCTGCGCATTTTTGGAATCTCCCCGGCATCTCCGACGGGGCCCCCGGCATTTCGCTGGAAGTCCCTGACGCGCCATTGGAAACCCAGAGCGGCCCCCAGGAAATCATGGGCACATCCTTCGCACGTCCTCAGCATTCCCAAGGAAACGCGGGGGGCGCTCAGCATCTCCCAGGAGTCTCGGACCGCTGGGAGCCCCGAGGCAATCCTTTGCTGGCCCGTAACATGTCCCAGGGAATGCGCTGCGCATCCAAAGGTACCCCCGGGGATTCCCCCTCGCGCCGCGCGCGACGCGCCGCTGATTGTCTCTGCGCGAGGCGCTGAAGATATCGCCCTGCGAAAACGACCCCTTGAAAATATTTAATCTCGGCGCGGCGCCAACGATGACCCCAGGGGGGCCCTGAAAGCTTCACTCGGCAATCGGGGGCAGCGCGCAAGGGCGGCCTGGCGGGGAGGCGGGGGAAGAGGCGGGGGGCGGGGGGCGGTCGTCGGAGCGTCATCGACCGCGGCCGTCGTAGACGTCGCGGTGGACGCAGCGGTGGCTGGCGTTGCAGCGGGCGTCGTTGCGGTGGCCGCGGTGGTCGCGATGGTTGCGGTCGTCGAGCTGGTGGCCGCGCTACTGGTGGTCGCGCAGCCGCGGGCCTGGGCGTCGCGGCGGCCGCGGCGGGCGCGGTGGTCGCGATGGCCCCGATGGTCGAGGCGGTGGCCGGTCTCTGGTAGTCGCGCCGTTGTCGAGCGCGCTGTTGGCGGGCACGGTCGCCGCAGCCGCCGCGCCGGCGACGCCGCCGCCCCTGCCCTCGGCGACGCCTGCCAAAGGAGTCGGGCTGGCGGCGCCCCGCGGCCCGCCCTGCAGCGACGCGCGGGCCTGAGCCTCGGGCGCCCAGCACGCGCCGAGGACCATCTCCACGTTGCCAACGACCAGCGCGCGCTGGATGCGGCGCCACGCGGCGGCGACCACCGCCGACCGCTCCGCCTCGGGCAGATTTGCGCCGCAGGAGCGGGCGAAGGAGAAGTGCTCCAGGACGGCCGGGACCAGCTCGGGCGCGGCCAACCCGTCGTCGTTGGATCGCGCCCCGCTGCGCTCGACGTTGCCAGAGCGCGCGCAGGTGGCAGACCAGTCGAAGTAGATAGGTTGTCCGGTGGCCGCGTCGCGGGTCGCCGCGCCCAGGCTGAGTTTTTTCCACGCCCCCCGTGTCTGGGCCCACGCGATCCCAAGCGAGGACTCGCCTTTCGGCGACAGCCACGCGGCTGGCCCGCGCTCGGTGAAAGGGCGCGCTCCAACCTCGGAGGCTACTGCGGCGGCGGCCACGAGAGCCTTGACAACCGCATTTCAAGGGGGGCCAGCCGTTGGCGCCCATGGGCGCGCCGCAGACTGCACGCCGCCTCGCTTGCGGCGTTGGCACGGCGCCCCCAGCGCGCAGACGTCAGCCCGGAGGCGCTGGCGCAGCCCCACGCGGAGGTGCGCGCCCGGGATGGGCGGCCCCCCTTCCTGTTCCTGGCGCAGGAGACGCCAGCTTCTGGCTGAGGTGCTGCTGCTCTCGCGCGCGCAGGACAAGCCGGTCGTCTTCGCCCAGAGGTTGCAGCAGTCGCCCCCGCTTGCGCGGCGAAGCTTCGGCCGCCCAGAGCTTCGCCCGCGGCTCCGCCAAGCAGCTCCCCCAGCCAGTCAGTCGGGTCGCCCTCGGCCCTGCGGGTGCCCTGCTCGGATCCTGCCCCCCCATGTCCCGGGCAGCGCGAGGGCGCCTGGATCGGAAGCCCACGAGGGAAGAGGCCCCGAGGCAAGTGACGACGCTGGGGAGGACAAGGGCCCAGCCGCCCAAGTAGGCGCGCGCGGTCGTTCGTCGAGCAGACGGGAAGGCGCAGCCCCCGTCGGACAAGCCCAGCTGGTCCTGTTCGCGCCACGAGGCGTCAACGGCGAAGCTCGCGAACTCTTCGCAGGAGACCCAGAGGAGGTCGCCCAGCTGCGCCGCCCAGGCGATCTCGCAGCTAGTTCGAAGCAATTGGGCAGCGCCGCCGAGCGCACACGTAAGCAAGAGCGCGTGATCTCTCAACCGCCAGCCCGTTGTCCCGTAGCCGCCGATGGTGCCGCAGGAAGCGCCGTGACTTGTCGAGAACGTCGCGTCCGTCGGTCGCGCCGTGGACTAGGAGTCGGCCGTCGCCTTCGTCGTCGTCGCGGTCGTACCACGGCACCGGGTTCCCCAGCACCTTGATGGCTTGGACCCCGCGTTTTTCCCAGTTGTCGCGGCAACGCGGCGTCTTTCTTGGACTGGTTTGCACACTTGCGTTTTGACGGGTTTCAACGTTTTCCCGACCGTCGTCAGCTCTCCCCGCACGTTCACGCACGCCTGGGCCGCCAGTCCGGCTGGCACCACAGCCACCACGTCATCCGTCTAGGAGAGGATGCGGGCAGACGGGCTGGAGGTGCGTCAGTCGCGCGTCACCTCGGGAAAAAGCGTCGGCGATGCCGATGGCGAAGAAACCAGGGAAAGCGGGCAGTTTTGGTCAATCCTGGCTTGCGCTCACACCGGCAGCGCGGCGCCGTCTCGAGTCCAGCAAGTGTGGGTGGTGTGAGCCAGACGTTGGCCGCACAGAGGAGGGCAGGGGCACGCGTGGCCACGGCGCTGAGCACGATTTGGCGCGGGGTCGTGTGGAACGCGTTGGAAGCGTCAATCCAGAGGGCGGCGACCGAAGGCAGGGCCTCGGCCAGTGCAGACACGCATTTTGGTGGACCAGGTTGCAACCAGCCTGTCTGCTCACGGCGTGCTGTCGCGAGCCGCGCGCAGCCTTTTGCATTTCTGTCTGGAACACTGCGCACGCCGCCTTGGCAGCGAGCCGGCGCACGGCATTCCCGCACGCTACGGGGCGGATCCGCCCGTTTTTCTTCCAGAGAGCGGGCGGGCGAGCACCCAGGTTGGCACTGGTGCAATTGTGAAGGAGGCCCACAAGGAGGAGGAGGAGGAGGAGGAGGAGGAGGAGGAGGAGGAGGAGGAGGAGGAGGAGGAGGACAGCGACGCGGGCGTTGGCCTCCAGCGCCCCGGCGGGTTTGCCAGTGCTCACAAGGAGAGCCATTGGGCCTTGAGCCAGACCGATCCTGCCGGGACTCTTCCTCTTCGTTATTATTTTTCTTGTGTTCCTCCTGGTCCTCCTCCTCCTCCTTTTCGTCCCGCTCGTCGTCCTCCTCATCCTCCTCCTCGTCCTCCTTCTCCTCCTCCTCCGCCTCCTCCTCCTCCTCGTCCTCCTCCTCCTCCTTTTCCTCCTCCTCCTCCTCCTCCTCCTCCTCCTCCTCCTCCTCCTCCTCCGCCTCCTCCTCCGCCTCCGCCTCCGCCTCCTCCTCCCCTGAGACCCTGGCGTGCCAATTTGGGCACCCTTAGCGTTTTCGCCCAGTTTCGGGCCCTGGGACCATCACAGAGCCGTCCGGCTTGAAAAATGCAGCAAAATAATAGAGTCCACGGGACCAGCGGTGATTGTTAATTCCATAAGTTTAGCGCTTTCTTTTCGCAACGTCGGATCTACGACAAAGGTACCGATGTCGCCACCCCTGCCTGGTTTTCGCCTGCTGGGGCCTCCTGCGAGCCCCCCGTCGCCACGGCCAGGACGCGCTTTGGGAGAGGCCCGGGGAGTGGAGCGGCGGTATCGATGTTTTTGTTGCTATCCCCTCAGGAGGGTGTGCCCCACGATCCCGTTGATCTACGACACGGTGGACCTGCACTTCGTGCGCGAACGGCGGTCCGTGGAGCTGGCGTTGGGGAGCGGGGACAAGGCCCCCGTTTTCCTGGTAGACACGTTCGTCGACGTACATAAGACGCCGAGGGAGAGGGTCGAGAGGATGCTGGCGGAGGGCGAGGAGATGGAGGTGGCCTTCATGCGGATGTCGCAGTACGTCCTCGTGGTCGGCAGCGGCGAGGTCGACATCGCTGCCCAGAGGGCCGGCAAGGAAAAGGTGCGGCTCCTCACCAACATATACCCAGACCCCGATCCGAACATCGCTGGCCTTCCCTTCGAGGAGAGGGCGGGCGGGCTTTTCGTCGGCAGCATGTGCCACACGCCCAACGTCGACGCATCGCGAAGAAGAAAAGTATGCACTAACATAAAGCTGCTTGAGACCCGCGCGTACTTTTGGGGATCGGCGCTGGGCCCCGCTCCCGGGCGGGCGGAGCGAGCCTGGTGTCGTTCCGCGGCATCCGCGTGGACCTCCGGTAGCTTCGCGTCATGTCGACCAGCGATGCCGCCGTCGGCGTTCACCGTTGAACGCCGCCGGCGACCCAGAATCGGTCGATGCTGAACGATCTGACGATTCGGAAACGGCCGATCGTCCAAGGCGGAAGGATCCCCGCGGGGTCCAGGAGCCGGCGCCGAAGTCGGCACGGCACGAGCCTGCCGTTCGATGGTTTATGTTTATGCAGATGTTTCTTCTTCTGGCATCCAGATTCATCATGCAGGAGATCCTCGCTGATCACGCCGCGTTCCCCGAGGGCTTCACGGTGCACATGGTGTGGTCCGGCACTGGCAGGTGCGGGGCCCTGCTCGGCGGCATGCTGCAGGAGGCGGAGCGGCACCCGCTTGTCACCCTGCATCTCGACGTCACCAACGAGGAGCTGCTCAGCTTGCACATGCCGGAGAAGAAAGACGGCACGAACATGCACTTTCGGAGCTCTGCTCGGACTTTTTGGATCTGCGCTGCAAGCCCCTGGGCGGCGCATCCAGCGCCGCCCAGGGGGGGGGGGGTCCAGCGCCGATCCAAGAAGGCCGCGCGGAGCTCCAAAAGTTTATGCCTATGCCGTGCTTCCTCCTCCCGACATGCGCACCAAGTTCTTCTTGGGTGCCCTGCGCGTTGGCGCGGGGGTCAAGGGGAAGCTGTGCCACGCGCTCCTGTACGGCCTGCCCATCGTCGCCAGCGAGGTCGCAGCGGAGGGCATGTTTCTGACAGCTGGGCTCAACGTTCTGTCCGCCTCCACCCCCGCCGACTACAGGGAGCAGATCGGGAGGCTGACCTCGAACAGCTCGCTGTGGCACAGCCTCCGCTGGCAGGGCATGCAGGTCATCGCCAAGCGCTTCAGCCGCAGCGCGGCGCGCGGCACGCTGGAGGAGATCTTCGGCAACTTGGGTGTCGAGCCGCGGGTCACTCACGCCCGCGGCGGATTCAGGGCGAGGCCAACTTGGGAGTGTCCGCTGCCTGCGGACGGCGGCGGGAAGAAGGGCCTCTTCCCCGGCCGCCAGGACTTCAAGGGAGGAGGAAGCACCCCAACCCGCAGAACAGGAGTTTACCGGGCAGGTCCGCGCGTTGACTGCACAGCCTTGCCCTGCTCGATTCCTCCCTGAGGCGAGTTCACTTAGGGACGTCGCATTTTTCTGTTAATTCAGATACGAGGTCTTTATTGATTCATTTTTGTACACATACTAGAACCATAGCGCGCGTTTCGCGCGCGCTCAAGTTCTAGCTAGGCTGGATGGTTGAACTCTTGGGGATCTCTATTCCATGACGCTTCTTCTCCAGGGCTTCCAGGAGCCACGAAGACGGCCCAAGTGGCTTCCAAGACTTCCTGCGGTCCACCCACGACGACTTCAGACAGCCCCAAAGGCGCTTCGGGGGCCCTTTTGTTCGCCGCGGCTGGACGTAGCCAGAGGAAGACGGAGGAGAAGGGGAGGTGAAGGGGTTCCCTGGGGGAGGAAAAAAAGGTGGATGAGAAGGAGTTGGAAAAGGTGGAGGTGGCCTCAGAGGAGGATGAACCGGAGGAGGAGGAGGAAGAGGAGGAGGAGGAGGAAATAGGAATGTGCGGTGCACGGTTTCGCTTTGTCTTCCTTTGCATTGTTGCCACCCCACAGCAGTTTTGTCCCGCCGCTGTTGGGGCTCAAGCTTTCAGCGGCGATGCAGCAGTCGCATCACCTGGCCAGCGCGGTTGGGGCGGTGATCACGTTCTGGGTTGGTTTCGCGGCCCACGGCGTGTTCTGGCCCGCGCTGGCTCCTGAGCCTGCTGGCTGGGCGCGAGATGGCCCTGGCCACGAGCTGGAAGACAGCTCAAACTCTTCACCGAGCACTCGGACGAGCGCCAGCGCGGCGGTGCCGTGTCCAGATCGACCCTGTGCTCCACTGCCCGGCACCGAATGCGCCAGAGGAGGCCGCTCCGCAGGTGCTGAGAGTGGCCAGCACCGGCTTCGAGGCGACCGTGGAGGTGCCGGTCGTCGCGCGCGGCGCTGGGCGGGTGCTCGCTGGTGCCGTTGGCGGTGTGTTGGGCCTGGAGGCTGGTATCGAGCCGTTCGTCTGCCAAGCTCGCTCGAGATGGAGGACAGCCCGCGGTCGAGTGGGCGGGCCGGCGCCTGAATGTGCCGCCCGCCACGGCCGTGGAGGTGCCGCGCGTTCGGCGCCGCCGACGCGGGAAGCAGGCCACGTCTCACACCGAGGGTGACGCGGCTGCGGAGCTAGCACTGCCGCTGGCCGACGGCCCACCGCCGCAGCCGCCACCGCCTGGCTGCTGGGTGCTGTCGGCGATGGAGGGCGGGCCCGACTTCGGCCGCGAGGTCGAGTTGTCGGCGGCGGCCATCCTTCGGGGGCGATATGGGCTGGACCGCGACGCTGGTGGAGAGTGGGTCCCAATCGAGAATGTGACGGAGGAGGCGATCGCAGGTTGGCGCGATGAAAAGTTTATCGTGGCGGATCGCTTGCGGCGCCCGCGTGTCCGTTCGGACGACCGTCTCTTCCCCGAGGGGGAGGTCGCGCAAAGTAGTTTTGGAGAGTACGCAAGAAGCCTTCGCCTACTCCAGCCTCCGCGGGCCCCCAGCTTGTTTGGAGGTGTCCCGCAAGATGTACCGTCACGGAGACACCCCGAATATCTGGTTCCAGGAGTGGTGCAAAGAGACGGGGCTCGCGGTGAGACCGAGCCTACCACGAAGTGCTGACGCTCATCGGGTGCCCATACCTGGCGGGCACCCACGATCAGGTGAATATGGGGGCGCTTGCATCACTGGAGGTGATCTCGAGAAAGCTCCTGCAGTACACGGAGGCCTTTGCGCACGGCGCTGATCAGGCCAATTGGGGCGCGGCGAAGCATCTGGCTGGCCGGGACGTCCAACCCCTTCGACCTGGCGCCCCAGGCGCTGCGGAGCCATGCGAGCCGCCTGAGCAAGAAGGAGCACGGGCTGGAGGCGCTGAGGGCTCGTGAGAAGGCGCCGGGAGCCACGGCTGGTGATGGCGCGCGGGCTGCTGCGGCTGCTGTCAGCGATGGCGGGCTGGCGGCGGCTGGGGGCTCCCCGGGCGCCGATGCAGGTGGCGATGCTGGGGACGGAGGCCGCGGCGGCGGCGGCGGGCGTGGACGCGGCGGGCGGGGTCGCGGGCCCCGCCCGCCGGCCAAGTGACGCGCCTGGCGGAGGGGAGCGGGCGCCCGACCGCCCCCCTCAGATCGGGGGGCAACCAGGGGCTGCAGGGCTTTTCCGTCTTGCCCGTGGCCCCGCTGGCCGAGCTGCCGCCCGAGCGGTGCGAGGGCCCGAGTGCCAGGCAGCGCCGCCGATGACGGCCTGCGAGAGCTTGGCATGGAGGCGTTCACCGGGCGGGTCGCTCGCCTCAGCGCAACATCAGCCAGCTCAAGATGGACGCCATCTCGGCCTGCGCGCAGCAGCGCGTCTTCTCGGCGGCCCGCCGCTGGATCGACGTTGACAGCGCCGTCGGAGAGAAGGAGACCCTCGCCAGGCTGCTGAAGGGCAAGGCGGGGCGCGCCCCGCCTGGCTCGACAACCATGGGCCCCTGCGAGCACTCGTGGGCCAGCTTGCCAGACAGCGCCCACGACGCGCCCAGTCTGGCCACTGTGCTTCCTGCGCAGGCGAAGCTCTATATCGAGAAGCTTGATTCCAGGATGCTGCCGCCGCCTCAGGAAGCAGCGCTAATCCAAGAACGCGAAGGACTCCGAGGTTGTCACACCCACCCTCTGCTGCTCCGACGGACGCGGAGCCATGGGGAGCTCCGCGGGCGGAGCAGCGCCATTTTCCGCCCCCTCTGGGCGTCGATCTGCCGTCGGTCGAGGGGTTCGGCCGCGTCGAGATGCCGACCATGGCGGACAGCAAGTGCGCGCAGCTGCGCGCGTCGCCGGGCGCGGGCGACGTCGCCGATTGTTTCCACGGGATGAAGCTGGAGGGCGAGGTCAGACGCTATTTTTGTCGGCCGTCGCTGGCGGCCACCATGACTGAAGAGACGCTGGGGCCGCCCCGTGACAGGGGGCGAGCTGGTGTGGCCCAGGAGTCAGAGCCTGCCAGTGGGCTTCTCGCGGTCGTTGCGCTTCGCGCAGGCCGCCGACCGGGCCCGCCTGGGCCGCCGGCCATCCCTGGGCCGCAGCCTGCGGCTGAGCGACCGCTGGCATTGGACGCGACCAACTCGGACGGCGCCTTTGGCCATTGCACGTACGCGGACGACGCGGGCGCCATCGGGTCGAGCGGCCGGCGCGCGGAGACGGCTCTCCTGGAGGCGACGCAGGATCTCGAGGGCGGCCAGCTGAAGCTCCACGAGGTTGAGCCGCTGCCCGGAAAGGGCCGCGCCGTCGGGCGCTTCATCGACGGGGGGCGGCTGGCCACCCGCCGCACCGACGAGAGGTTCGCCGCGGTGCGGAAGGGCCTTCGCTGCCGCTTGAGGCGTCGCAAGGTTGCAGGCTGGCAGCTGGGTATAGCGCTGGGCCACATGATCTTCATGGCCGTGGTTCGTCGCGAAGTGCCGTCAATTCCCCGCGCGGCGTGCGCTTTCGCGGCGCAAAGCTACCACGCCTACTACCCTGGGCTGCGGCCTACGGTGAGACGAGCTCAACTGCTACCTGGGAGCCACGGTGATGTTGGAGTCAAGCTGGGCCAGGCCCTGGGCCACAGTCACCCGCTCCTCCGATGCGCGCCTCCTCGGCAACGGCGCGGCCGAGGCGCGCTTCGACCCGGGAGTGATCGTCGAGGTCGGCAGCGTCTCGGAGCTGTCGCGGCAGCGACTGGGAGCCGAGCTCGCGCGGCGGCGCGCCTTCGAGTGCGCGGGCTCCCCGCTGGACAACGAGACGGGCCAGGTGGCCGGGGGCGCGAGCGGGGCGCCCCTCCAGCTGAACGCCGAGTTACGGCGCGCGCTGGACTGCGAGCGTTGGGAGGCAGATCCCAGCTTCCTCGAGGTGCCCAGCTCGCTTTTGCACGACCCCCACCGGGCCGCTGCGACGGCGGACAGGTCGGCATTTGATGGCGATACTCTTAGGCTCGAGGCGCGGGCGCTCGCGGAGGCCGCGTCGCGCGCCGCGCCCTGCCAGCCAGTGAACGACTGCCGCGTTCTGTTATGAGGAGATAACCTGTCAGTTGCGTTTTGTTCTTACCGGTTCAGATCAACTGATTTTCGGCTTCTATTTCAGGCCCGTCGCTTTGCTGCCCCGTCCGAGCCAGAGACATCAGATTCGCCGTTCGACCGACCCCGCGCGAGATCAATTCTGGTGACGAAGGAATTCGGATACTGGATCCTGAGCACGATAGCAGCAAGACTCTCGTTGCCCATCTGGGGTCAAAGTTGCCCCTGCCACAGGTTGACCCAGGCGCGGTCGACGCCGCCGTGGGAAGCTCCACCTGGCCGCGAGACCCCGCGGCAGGAAACGCTGGCCCGCGCGGCGCATTCGGCGTCGGCGCCAGGCCAGTCGGCCAGGCAGCGCGCGAGGACGCCGAGCGCTGGAGCGGCGAGCTGCGAGGCGACAGAGGCGCCGCCGTCGCAGAGCCCGCGCGCTGGATCGGAGCCGCGGGCTTGCTGTCTGGCTGGCGTCGCGGGAGTCGGCTCGGCTGCCGCGCGGGGAGACTGCGCAGAGCCTCCCGGAGGCGGATCGCCACGAGCTTCCGCTGCCGGGCGGCGTCGCTAGCGGCCGAGAGGCCGACGCTTGGAGGGAGGGAGACAAGGCTTGCAACAGGGGGTCTTCAATGGGGGCTGAATGGCCCATGTATGCTCAGTGTTTCGCTCACGCATGTGATCGGGCACGATTGGCATCCGACGGCCGCTCGCACGTGCCCACGCGTTGCCCGCGCGGTCACACGCGCAGTTGATCCATTATCGTTCATGCGTGCGGGCGTTATTGCATATCGCGCGTGGGGCGATTGTAAGTGTGTCTTGATTGGGGGATTGATGGCCGCGCATGTTTCCCAACGATAACTTGTCGACCCTCAAGACAGATTTGGAATAGGTCCCGCAACTGATTCAACATTAGAATTCACATGTTCCTTTCTCCACAATGTGGATTCACCTTTTTCTTTTTCACAAGCTGCGAATTCACATTCTGGCCCCTGCATACAGATTCCCATGCAAAATTATAAAATGCGCGTTCATATTCTTGTTTTCCCAAAATGCGAATTCACATTTCTCCCACACTGTGAATTTACCTCTTGCCTTTTTCCCGCAATGTGAATTCACATTTTGCCCTGGCCCTCAAGATCCCCAACGTTGAGGCGCAGCGTTCCGCGCGTCAGATTGGCTGGGCAGATTTTGATATTCACCTCGCCGCTTTCGTCTATACCAACATTTTCTTCTTGCGCCCTCAGCGCACGTTGCCTTCGTCGCCTTTTCCCGAACCCCCGCCTCTCTGCTTCGTTTACCCTCGAGTCTCGCGCGCGGGCACAGGCGGGGAGCTTCAATGGGTCCCCCCGCCGAACATAGCAATCGAGGGCCATAGAGACCATTGCCGGGACCTTGCGCCCGGCCCCCGCTTTCACCCTCCAAGACGCTGCCGAGGCAGCGACGCGGAGGCGCCTACCGTCGCGGCCAGCTGCCGGAGGCGTCTCGAGACCCGCGGCCAGGCCCTGGCGAGGAAGGCGATCGCCGCGCTGGAGGAGGGAGGCCCCAGACGCCGCCGGCGATGAGAAGCTGGGCATCAGCTACCTCGAGAGGCGGTCCGCGGGAGCGGCCGCGCTCGAGACCAACCGCCAGCGCGCCCTCGCCTTCGCGTCTGGGCCCGCTGCTCGCTGGCGGCGCCCCCAGAGCCAACTGTCCTGGACGCCCTCCTCGCGGGCTACATGAACGGGGAGTTCTCGAAGGGCATCAAGGCCTGACGCGGGCTGGCAGGAGTGGTGTTCTTCCACCCAGATTACGGCCGCCTGGGCGACCCATGCCTGCCCCGCGCTCTGCGGCGCTTGAAATTCTGGAAGAAGTTGTCACCACCTCGCTCTCGGAAGCCCTCGGCGTTTGCGATTCGGGCGACCATTGCAGTGGAGCTGCGCCGCCTGGCTGCGCCCTTGGCGGGAGCGCCGGCGTTGATTATGGCTGGGTGCTACCTTCGACTTGGGGAGATGCTGGGTCTGACCAGCAGCTCTCGTCTTGGCCCCGAGCCAGCACGCTGCTCAGAACTGGGCCGCATGGCTGTTCCAGAGGCGGGAGTTGCTCGGAGCATAGTGAGCTCAGACGACGCCATCCCTCGCGACTCGGGTCGGTGTCCTTGGATGCGTCACGCATCCCCTCCTGGGCTCGAGCTACCCGAAGTCCCTGGGCCTCCTTCGCCGCGCTGCTCTGATTATCGGAGTGGGCGTCGCCCCGCATCAAGGCTGTCACAGCGGGGCATCGCTGGATCGGGGAACGGGATGGCGGTCGCAAGATGGGCTCCAAAGCAAGGGAGATGGGTGGCACGATCATCTGTCAAGAGACGAAAAGTCGGGTCGGCTGAACGAGAGTTGGGAGTGCCTGCAGGAGATTACGAAATGCAGGCGCACTGCGCGCCGACCTCGGGGCAGGTGGAGGACGCGCCGCCACTGGGACGGGCCGCTCTAGCGCCGCACTTCGCGTGCCGAGGGGGCCCCCGCGCGGCCCAGCGAGTGAAGATCTGCGCTGCCAGCAGAGCCCGCACCTGCCGGCTGTGTTACCAGGTGGCGGGGGGGGGCCAGATGCGCGAGGCGGTCGGATGCACTTCAGTAAGTCTCGATTTGACAAATGGACCGGATCAGGATGCGCGCAGCTGTCTGAATATCAGAGTGACTGAGCGGCACGTCAGACTGGGCCTGGTCAGAGCGGCGACGTTGGCGCCGCCTTGTTCGTCACTCTCGCCCGCGCGCAACCTTTGCCCTGTCTGAAGTGCCGAACGCCCCGGGGGTCCCCCACAGCTTAGAGACAATTGTAGAGCTACGGTGCAGACTGGGAACCCTTGCATGCGGGCGGCACTGCGCCGGCATCACTCAGTGCCCCATGCGCCGGAGAACCCCATGACTTTGCATATGCGGCGCCGCGGAGACACGCGTCAGCATGCGCTGCCACGCGGCTGGGCTGTAGACCTGCATCAGCGTTCGTTTGGATCCAGATGAGGGAAAGCGATTCGGGTAATTTCGGCTGCGCAACGGAGTCTGGAGACCTTGCTTTGGCGCGCCAAGGCCGCTTGACAGGTCGCGGGAAGCACAGTTATTGCATGTTTCGCCCAGGCCACAGGCACATCGTTCTTGAAGGGAAAACAATGACCCGCTGGGCCGCGGAATATCCCTTTCGTTTCTCCTAGTGGTTGTGCAAAGTTTTGTTGAACTTGTGAGATAATATTGCGTCGCCTCGATCCTCGAATCTCAAGGTCGACGCCTTTCCGCCCCCATAAATTGTCCGGGCCGCTACGCCGTGAAATTCGGCTTTGCGGGCAATATGGGCGATGAGCCCTGCCGTTGCATGCCTCGAACCCCCCGGTCGCGATCATGAGGTATCAAATGTCATCGGTGAGGAAGGAGACTGAACATGAATGCGCGAGGTACGGTTTTGCTTTGTCTTCTCGCGCATTGTCGCCAGCCTACAGCAGCTGCGCCCCGCCGCTGCCGGGGCTCAAGCCTTTTCCGCCCACGGCAACCCCAGATGTTTGCATATAGCGCACGATCTCCTGCACGCTCTTTTCCCTCCACTCCATGGATGATGCGCCCTGCCGTCGCATGCCTCGAACCCCATGGTCGCGACCATGAGGGATCAGACTTCGCCACTGAAAAAGGCGACTGGTCATGATATGGTTTTACAAGCGTAGCGAAGCTGCCCGGCGAAGTTATAAAAATGAAATGTTGGAGTACCCGTTGTTCCCAAGTGCCCATGAGGCCCTTCTCGGGGCTCTTTTGGGCCTCATTGGTGTTTTCGGGTACCTTGAAGCTTGTTGGGGGTCTCATGGGGCGAAGATTTCGGGTTTCCGGTTCACGTTCCCGATCATGGGCCGCGGTCGGGGCCCTCTCGCGCCGCCTTGGACTCTTCGGCGATTTGACGCCTATTGAGCCGTCTTGGGGCGCTTTTGAAGCCTATTGGGCCGTTGTGGGGCGATCCTCGGAGCCGCTTGCGGCGCTTTGCAGCGTCGGGAAGCGGAACGGGCGGAAACGCCAAAATTGTTCAGAAACCTAAGGAACATACCTGGTATTTGGCCTCTTCGAACTCTGTTGGGAAACCTTTTAGAAGCCTCTCGGGTATCTTGGGGGCCTCTTGGGCCGTCTGGAGGCCGTCCTGGGCGTCTTGGACCATCTAGTGGCCTTTGGCCCATCCCACCACCGTGCTTGGGTTGTGGGGTAGAGGCCTCGTGGAAGTTCGTTTGCAATGTGTTGGGGGCATCCCGGGGGCCTCTCGAAGGCACTTTTGGAAACCTCTTTGGGGCAGTTTGGGGCGTTTTTGGGGGTCTTTTCGGGGCCTCGTGGGGCTATTGGACTCTGTTGGGGGCCTCCTGGGGGCCTCTTGGGGCGGAAGGCTCGAATTGTCGGTTCGTGTTCCCCCTCTTGGGCCCCGCTTGGGGCCGTCTTGGGGCCTTCTCGGGCGATTTTGGGCGCCTCTTGGGCCGTCTTGGGGCACACTTGGGCCTTTTTGCGAGCCTCTTGCGCCGTCGTGGCGCCCTCTTCGGATGCTTGTTAGGCCGTCTTGAGCTGAATTCTGGGGCCTCGCGGGTTTCATGGATCGTCGGAAGCACGAAACAGCGAGAGTATGAAAAACCTTTAGAAGCTTCGAAAACAACCTACTTGTTTCGCGTCATGAGTGCCTCGTGGGAATATTTTTGTGGACAGCTTGGCCGTCTTGAAGCCCTCCCTCTTGGGCTGTCTGCCTTGTTGGACCAAGTTTGAAACGGTCTTGTGCGGTCATGGGCTCTCTTGGAGCGCTTCCAGGCCATCTTGGCGCCCTCTTGGACGTCTCTCGGCCCCTCCATTCGCTCCTTTTCGGCCCCTCTGACGTTTTTTGGCGCCCCCGCCGGGCCCGAAACGACCAGGAGACAAATCAGTGCACTGGGCCCCCGGGACCCCCTCCTTATCTATTCCCCAATCGGTGCTTGCACTGAAGGGGTCCTCGCGGAAGTTGAAGGATTCGGCCAAAGTGTCCCGATTTTGGTCGCACGCTGGGTTCCCAGGTTCCCGGTTGCGAGTTCCCGCGTTCCCGGGTTCCCGTCTCCGGGCCGATTTCGGAGGGCGGCGAAGTTCCCCGGTTCCCGGGTTCTTGGTCGATCTTCTTATCGATCGGTCTCACTATCGATCTCATTACCCAGTTCTCTGTCGATCTCACCATCGATCTCACGATCGATCTCACTATCGATCTCACAAGCGATCTCATTAGAGATCGCATGAGCGATCTCGCGATCGATCTCACTATCGATCTCATTGAATCGATTTCACCCTCGGTCTCACGATCGACCTTACAATCGTCCTCACTATCGATTCCACTATCGATCTCATGATTGATCTCACGATCGATCTCAAGATCAATAGTATAAATTGTCAAATCATCCACTGATTGGGGTTTTCTCCGGTGCACTCGATATACCAGTAGTGTGGACCCGTGGATTCATAAATCCAGGGAGTGGAGTGGATCGACAGGTGGTAAGGCGCGCGCTGGGTGGCGCGACGCTGTCACCGGTCGTTGGGTCCTTTGAAACTTCTCCTGGTGCAGTTTCCCATCCGAAGGCGTCCGGTGCACTGGGGCGGGGGCCGAGGTGTTCGGGCTCCGCGACAGCGAGATAGCGAGGAGTCCTTTCGGGCCGTCTTTGTGCCCTCTCGGACCGTCTTCGGGCCCGTTTTGGGAGCCCGTTGAGCCATCCTGGGGCAGCCTTCGAGGCCGCTTGGGCCGTCCTGGAGCGTCAGAAAGCTGAAAAAGGCGAGAACGCTAAAAACGCTGGAAACCATAGGGAAATCAACGATTCTGGCCGGTCGGGGCCCTCGCTGGAGGCATCGTGGAAGCCACTTCGGCCGTCTTGGCGGCCTCTTGGGCTGCCCTGGGACCATCTTCGGCCGTCTTGGAATGTTTTTGGGCCCTCTTGGTCCCTTTCTGGGCAGTCTTGGGGCACAATTGGAGGCCCCTTGAGCCATTTTGGAGTGGTCTTGGAGACCTCTTGGGCAGTCTGGGAGTGTCGGAAAACTGAAAAGGTGCGAACGCCCAAAACTTTTCAAAACCATAGGGAAATCAATGACTCTGGCCTCTCGGGCCTTCGCTGGGGGCCTCGTGGAAGCCACTTCGGCCGTCTTGGCGGCCTCTTATGCAGTCCTGGGGCCATCTTCGGCCGTCCTGGAGTGTTCTTGGGCCCTCGTGGGCGCCTTCTGGGCCGCCTTGGTGCTTTCGTGGGCCGTCTTGGGGCCCTCTTGGGGGCCTCCTGAGCCATCTTGGAGCGGTCTTTGAGGCCTCTTGGGTTGTCTTGGAGCGTCCGAAAGCTGAAACGGCGAGGAAGCCCAACATCTGCAAAACCATAAGGAAATCAATGATTTTGGCCTCTCAGGGCCCTCGTGGGAGGCCTCTTGGAAGCCTCTTGGGCCGTCTTGCAGACCTCGTGGGCTGTCCTGGGGCCATCTTCGGCCGTCTTGGAGTGTTCTTGGGCCTTCTTGGGCGCGTTTTTGGTCTGTCATGGGGCCCTCTTGGGTCGTCTTGGGCCGGCTCGGGGCCTTTCGGGAGGCCTCTTGAGCCATCTCGGAGCGGTCGTGGAAGCCTCGCGGGCCGTCATGGAGCCTCGGAACGCCGACTCGGCGAGGAGCTCCGAAATTGCAAACCATAGGAAAATCAACGATTTGGGCCTCTGGGGACCCTCGGGGAAGCCCTCTTGGAAGCCTCTTGGACCGTCTTGGCGGCCATTTTCGGCGTCGTTGGGAGCTTGAAGCGCGTCGGGTTCCCGTGGGGAATTCTTCCGAGGTGTTCTGGGCCCGTTGGTGAGCGATCGGGGGCCCTCTGGTGCCGTTTCGGGCTCTCCGGGGCGCTCGGGGAGCCGGGGTCCCACGCCAACCCGTAAAGTTGTTTTAATGATTTATTTGAGTGGATACATATATACATACACACACATACGCAGAGACAGGATAAAGGAGGACCCCCTCAAAAAAAAAACGAGAGGGCTCCGCACGTCGGTGTCTACGCGGGTGGCTCTCTTCTGCCCTCCGAGGACGCCGATTGCTGGTCCGGCGAGCGCAACCCGTGGTTCTTGCTGCCGCCGCCCGAGGCTGGACGGGTCCAGCACAGGGATGGCCTCCTCCGGAGCGCTCTGGAGGAGCGCTCCCAGAGACGCTCCCAGAGACGCTCCGAGATCGCCGTCGCCGTCTTCTTTGCCGCCGCCGCCGTCGCCGTCGCCGCCGCCGCCGCCGCCGCCGTCGCCGTCGCCGCCGCCGCCGTCGTCGTCGCCATCTTGCGAGGCCTACAGCGACGCCTTCCTCCGCGACCACGTGCCGAGGCCGAGGGCGGGCCCGGCCGTGCCGCCGGCGTGCCCCGCGGGAGGCCCGCCGTCGCGGGCGCGGCCGTTCATCTACCACCACATCGTGAAGACCGGCGGCCTCGGCATCCGGCAGGTGTCGGGGGCGGCAAAGATCAGAGCGTGAATTACCTCCCCCGCTTTCGCTTCCAGGCAAAACCAAGTCATACCACGCGCCTCCTCGTCAAGCGGCCTGACCAGCGCAGGCCGTAGTTTGGCATCGTTTGGTATCTCTTGGAAGCGAGGGTGGTCAAAAGCGAGGTAGGTTTGTTTTCCCCCTAAAAGAGGGGGCTGATGAGGGGGGGGGAATGTCCCGGCGGGGGGCGCGATATTTCCCCGGATTTCATGGCGCCTCTTCTTATTTCGGTGCGTCTCTCTGGCCCCCCCCCTTGGGCCGCGCACGTGCCGCTGGCCACGATTCGCACCCTCCCCTCTTGGAAGGGGGTCAATGCAAACAGGGGTCAGCCAGAGCGCCCGATCTTGCAGGATCCTGCAGGGCCAGGGTCGCACTGACCCGGGCTTGGGTGCAGGATCCTGTAGGATATTGCAGGATCTTTCGCATTGACCAGGGTTTGGGTGCAGGATTTTGCAGACTTCTGCAAGGCCTGACTGACCCGTGTTTGGATTGACCCGGGGCAGAAGATCCCCGACAGGTGGTGGCCCAGGGCGCGGGGGCGCACGGCCTGGTCACCGAGGAGCGCAAGATGGCAGAAAGATTGAGGAGGGGGAGGAGGGGGAGGAGGGGGAGGAGGAGGAGGAGGAGGAGGAGGAGGAGGAGGAGGAGGAGGAGGAGGAGGAGTACAGTCAAGTTGCTGAAGTGAGGAACAGTTTGGGTTCGGAAGGGGCTCGAGGTTTCTTAGGTCCTTCCATGGCTGTTCCTCTAGCCCTCCTCGTGCACGCTGGCGCTTCTGGCGCCAAAATGGGGCTTCGTTCCGCGTTCCTTATTTCAGCGGCCCGACTGGAGGAAAGGACACCGATACCGCTACCCTTCCCTTCCCTCGTGTGCCCCTGTGTCGGGCCTCCTGGGGGCCCTCGTCGCCACGGCTGGATTCTCCCCCAGCTCCTGGTCAGAACGCACCCCGAGAGAGGCCTGGGGAGTATCAGTGCCTTTTTTTTCGGCGGCGAGCGCGGGGGGGAAGTGAGAAGGAGAAGGCCTTCTCAGAAGGCGGCGGGACTTCTCAGAAGCCCTCGCGCCTTCTGTGAAGTTGTCTGCGTCTTAGGGGAAGGCTTAGAAAACTTCTCAGAAGGCCGCGGGACTTTCGAGCCTTCCGAGAAGGCCCGCCCCTTCTCACTCCCCCCTGGGCTCGCCGCCGATGTTGGTTTCCCCAGGCGGCGGAGGAGGAGGAGGAGCATTGCCCCGAGCTCGTCCGGGCCCCCTGTTCCGCGGAGCAGAGCGACACGCTATCTGCCTGCAGGGCGCCGCGTGCCGCTGGGGCCGCCGCCGCGACACGCTGAGATCTAGGCCTCCCAGATGGGGTCGGAGCAGATGGGGTCGGAGGATCTCGCCGCATCGGCGATGCATCGGCGATGCATCGGCGATGCATCGGCGATGCATCGATGCGGCTCGATACGGGGCCCGATTTCCTCCATGCCGACGTCGCCGATGCATCGCCGATGTCGCGGGCCCATCGCCAATGCATCGGCGGTGCATCGCTGATGCGGCGCAGTCTTCCGACCCCACCTATTCCGACCCAATCTGGGAGGCCTCTGTGAGAAAAAGCTCTTGGCCGTAAACTTTCGGAGGTGTGCGCGGATCTCTCGGATCGGCGCTGGACCCCCCTCCTTGGCGCGCGAAGAGGCGCCGCCAGGGGGCTCCAGCGCCGAGCCAAGAAATCCAGGCGGACCTCCGAACATTGATGCTTCTGTTTCTGTTTGCCCCTCGAGGTCACCGCAATCCCCTGCGAGGGCACCACGGACTGCCGGTGCAACGTGATGTAGCTGCGTGCTTTCGGCGCATCCGGTTATTGCGCCCAGGTGGCAGTTTTTCGCCATTGGGGACCGGTTTCGGGGCCCGGGGACTTTCGCAAACGGACCTGGAATGAAAAATGACCCCCAGGGAAGTCTCCTGAGTAGGTCAGAGGCTTCTCGGGACCCTCTTGGCTTCGCCGGTCTTGGAGCGCTCGTGGCTCCGAAAGTGTTGCGGGCAGCGCCAGGGAACCGCGGGATGCACGCAGGAACCCCAGAGAAAATTGGAGAGTTTGGGGCCCGGGCCCCTCAGGGCACTCCATGTCGTGCATCGAGGCACGGTGGCGGATAACAGCCCACTGTCCCAGACGTCCACCTGCATGGAGTCGGAGCAGTTCAGGGCCGGGGCCGTGTACCTGGGGCACTATGCCCCGCTCCCCCTGGCCAGGATCCGCCCTACCGCCAGCCGCGACAATCTGTGTTTCATCATGGTCCGCAGGAGGGGAAAAAACACACAGACACAATTAATCGTCGATTCCCCAGAAAATAGGGGAAGATATGGGAATTGGGCGGGAAGACAAAAACCCAGAAAATATGGGAAAATATGGGGCATATTTTTATTTGTGTGCATTTGTTTGTGTGTCCCAGGGCCCCTTCAGGTCCGCAGGCCGCTGGACCGGGCCGTGGCACACTACACCAGATTCGGTGTGATAGACCGGTTCAGCGGCAAGGATATGCACAAGTTGACGCTCAGCGAGCTTGACCTGGCGGTACGCCAGACAGGCGGCGGCGAGTACATGACCAGGTATTTGGGGTGCGTCGACGAGGAGGATTGTGAGCAGCCGGTAGCCTCCATCATGGATTCTGCGAGGGCGCAGCTTCGCAGGTGCCACGTGGGCATCACAGATCACTTCAAGACGACCTTGGCATATCTGAAAGTACTTCTCCCGTGGCTCGACCTGGAGTCGATATCCGATATTCACGCGCGCCCTGCGAATTACGTCGATGGCAACCGTTTCCTCGGGAAGTTGCAAAGTACACCAGAGAAGGTCGAGGCGATACAGAAGTGGTACGCGGCAGACATGGAAATCTACGACTACGGCAGGGGCCTTTTCCTGAACCAGACCAGGCACGCGCTGAGGTGCTACGGGCACATCAGCTCCGACGACCACGTTGAAAGGCTGAAGCAGATGCGCACTATATCCCGCAAGGTGAAGCGGAAGCCCGAGACGTACCAGTGGGAGATCGCGAAGTGCGTCGAGAGAGCCGTGTACTGCCGAGAGGGAGTCCTTCGAGAAATGTGCAGCTGCACATCCGCGGAGAGCACGTGAGCCGCGCCTTCGCTGCGACTCAGTATCATTAAGACGGGCCGCGTCAGGAGGAATACTCAAACATTGTAAAAAAGTAGTTTGGGAACGATTTGTTGACTATGTGTGAGTTTGTTTGTCTATGTTTTATTTTGTTGCCCCAGAATCCGCCTGTAGGAGGACATGCCCGACCTGACAGTATCAACACCCTTGGCGGCAGGCCCAGAGATCACCTCGCTCAGTGCGGGGCGACTGTCAGGGGCTGTATCGCCGATTCCAGCTAGATGTGCCCCCCCTCCAGCTCTTCCCCGCACGTCGCTGCCCCTCAGCCTGGTGGGCATGTGAGGCTCGCCCCCCTCGCCCCCCTCCTCTCGGAGAGCAAAGAGGGCGTCAACGTACTTTCTCGGAGGTCCGGGCGGATTCCTTGGATCCGCGCTGGGCCCCTCTGGCGGCGCCTCTGGCGCCGCCCCCGGCGCGCTCGCGGCAGGGGAGGGGGGGCGGTGCAGCGCCTTTTGCGGACTTCCGAGAAATGATGTTCGTGCCGTCTTGTGCTCCTCTGTATTTCCTTCAGTCGGAGATCACGGGAGCCTGGTATACCCTCTTGATTCCGTCTTTAGCGTCGACGAGCGTTTGGGAGTCGATGAGATGTGCCGATTTGGCGTCGGCTAGCGCCGAAGAGCGTCAATTTAGCGTCGAGTCAGCGTCGATAAAGCGTCGCTTGGCGTCGATTCGCAAGGGCCGACACGACGGTCTGGGGAGGAGGAGGAGGAGGAGGAGGAGGAGGGAGGAGGAGGAGGGAGGAGGAGGAGGAGAGGAGAGGAGGAGGAGGAGGAGGAGGAGGAGGGAGGGAGGGAGGGAGGGAGGGAGGGAGGGAGGGAGGGGAGGGAGGGAGGAGGGAGGGAGGGAGGGAGGGAGGAGGGAGGGAGGGGAGGAGGGAGGGGAGGGAGGGAGGGAGGGAGGGAGGGAGGGAGGGAGGGAGGAGGGAGGGAGGGAGGGAGGGGAGGGAGGGAGGGGGGGAGGAGGAGGGAGGGAGGAGGGAGGGGGGGAGGGAGGGAGGGAGGGAGGGAGGAGGAGGAGGAGGAGGAGAGGAGGAAGAGGGAAGAGGAAGAGGAGCGGAGGAGGAGGAGGAGGAGGGAGGAGGAGGAGGAGGGAGGAGGAGGAGGAGCTCACCGTGCGCTGCCACCGACGTGTCCTCCCCCTCGGCGCCAGCCCCTCTCGCCGCAGGGGCCCGCGGCGAGGCCGCCAGAGCGCCCCGCCCGCCCCGCGGCCTTCACCCCGTGGCCTCGGGAGGCCGACGGCCGGCGAGCGGGCCCCACGAGCGCCCGCCGAAGCCGGGCATGTCCCTCGACAGGAAGAGGGCAGTCGGAACATAGTCTGGGGGACGCTTTTTCGGCTATGTTTGGGCCTCGTTTGGCTGTGGCTCATCTTTCGTCGGGGGTCCGCCCCCGCCCGCAGAAGGGCCTGCCCGGCCCGGGCCTGCTCTGGGGGGGGCTGCTGCCCACACACGCTGCCATGCCCAGAGGAAAAAGGTGCCCCTACCGCTACCCTGCCCTCGTTTTCCCCTTTGGGGCCTCCTCGGAGGCCCTCGTCGCCACCGCTGGATTCGTTTTGACATCCTGGTCAGAACGCGCCCCGGGAGAGGTCCGCGGAGAGTAGCGGCATCGGTACTGTTTGGTTTCCCCCGATAGGTGCCTCTCGTCCTCATCCTCCTCCGTCTCCCCGGAAGCTCCGACGTCGTGTTTATTTCGCAGCGGGGGCCCCCGGAGGTCTGGACCCCTTCCCCAGGACCGGCGTTTCGTCCCGAGTCGCTTTTGTTGGCGGTCCCAAGGCCTGATGAGGGCCCGCGGGAGTCGAAAACGACCAAAAATGTCGTCCCCTCTCCTCAGCCCCTCGTCCTCCTCGTCCTCCTCACCCTCCTTGACCTCCTCCCCCCAACGCCGCCGCTCTTTTCCAAGCGACGCGCGTCTGGCGCCTCCCGCGCGGCCCGTCCGCGCTGGGCGGGCCTCGGGGAGGCGCGCCAAACCCTGCAGCTCGACCGCCTCGCGGCTTGCCGCCGCCTGCCCCCAGACAGAAGAGGAACAGCGAGCAACAGTCGAGGGAAGAACTGCCACGGCAGAGCATCCTGCCAGCAGCACGAGGGAAGAGGCGGGGGCGGGGAGCGGGAGGTCGGCCATGGGGGGGCCAGGGGTGAGAGCGCGGCCATGGGCACCTGGTGCGCTCGGCCCAAGTGGGCGCGGCCGCCCGGGCCAGGAGTGAATCCGGCACTGCGGCGAGAGCACGCCTCGAGCCTGAAAGGTCGATTTTCGACCGGGCTTCGCTGTGGCCACCTGGCGCGCTGCACTACTCGCAAAGTGCCTGCTCGCAAACGCCCGAAGAAAACACACGCCTGCTTCGGTGCAACGTATCGTAGAGCCCCCCGCGGCGGATCGAGGCGAGTTGCGAGTAGCCACTCTGCGAGCAGTGGAACGCGCTCGTCTATGTGGAACATACTGCTGGTCGACGTGCAATCGGCGACAGCAGCACCTGCTGCGCCCGCTCTGCGTGCTCCTCCCTGCTGGACCGTGCGACCCCGGGCGGGCGGCCGCGGGCTCTCTTGCTTCTTCTGCGTGGCTCTCCGGTGGCCCTTGTGATTCTTCTGTGCGGCTCCTCGGTTGTTCTTGTTGCTTCTGCCATCGAGCCCCGCGCTTGGCATCGCTCGGGCGTGTGCATTTTTCCGGCGAGGACCATCGAGGAGCATCCTTGATCATTTGGCGCGAAAGCCATGCACGAAAGCAACAGAAGCACAGGAAGTGGACGTCCGAGCGATGGCCAGTAGAGCCCTGCGGTGTGGACCGTCTGAGGATCCCCCAGAGTTTTTGTTGCGCTGCGCTCCCCCGTCGGGGAAGGAGCGCTGGCCAGGGCCTGGCGCAGCCCGGGCCCTGCATCCAGCCGCGGCGAAGTACGGTGGGGGCGTTGGTCAAGAAGTTACAGGCGTCCCGTTTGGGGTCCGAACAGATAGGGTCGGGGGATCGAGCCGCATCGCCGATGTATCGACATGCGGCTCGATGTGGAGCCCAATTTCTTGCCACGCCGACGGAGGCGATGCATCGCAGACGTCGCAGGTGTATCGCCGATGCGTCGACGATGCAAGACCGACGCATCGGCGATGCGGCCCGATCCTCCGACACCATCTGACTACCCAGACCCCATCTTGGAGGCCTCTAGGAATATGCCCAGGAGGCTTCAGGACCTGGGGGGGTCAGTACTACGCGATGAGGGTGGCAGAGCTACGGTCAGGAACTTTGGCGCAGTGTGTCGTTCTGCAGGTTCTGGCCCACCGCGCTTCGGCGCGACACGACATCCACGTCGCGGTCCCCAAGCACGAACGTCCCGAGTTTTTCCGAGCCTCCAATCCTGCGAAGCGGAGCGACACGCTATCTGCTCGCAAGGCATGGCGTGTCGCCGGGGTCGCCGCCGCGACACGCTATGCAAAAATTCCTGACCGCATCCATGGCCAATCCACTAAAGGAATTTCAGCACCTTCCAGACCCTGGATTCCTTATCCCATGGTTGTTCATCCAATGCCCCCACCGTATGCCACGATTTCCTCGCCGTCTGCCGCCGCATACTTTCTCTAGCAGGTTGCCAGGCGACTTCCTGCAATGCGTCTGTGTGGACGTGGTGCTCACTGTGGCTACCAGAGGGGCTACCCCTGGCAACGCAGGAGGAGGAAGGAGGAGGGTCACGCAGGACGAGGAACTGGAGGAGCTGGAAAGAAGGGCCGCGCGACCAGTGCCACCTTTTCTCTCTTCCTGACTCGTCCTCACCCTTGTTTTCATCCTCCTCGTCGTTCTCTTGGTCCGAGGCGGCTAGGAGCCCTCAAGAGAGCCCCGCGAGCCCCGAGAGAGACTCACCTCCGTCTGATCGTCTCGCCAGGGGAATCGTCAAGCTCTACTGCGCCGTCTTCGGTCCCTCCGTTGTTGGACGGACCGCAAGGATGGAACTCATAGCTCAAAGTCAGTTGCGGCAGTACTGTGTTCCCGCCCTGCCCTGCGGACAGGAGGGAGGGGAGGTGTGGTGTCGTGGTTGTTTCCACGCTCCTCCACAGTGTGCGTGTGAGCCTCCTATCTTTTTGCGGATGCATTGTTGCGTATCGGGTTTGTTGTCGCTTCAGATGTCTATCCAATTATTTCTATGCGACCCCTATGCATCTTTGACCAGGAGCCCTTACGTATCCCGATTCGTTCACACGTTCCGCAACCAGCTGCCTGCGGCAAGTCCCGCCACCGTGCTAGCCCAGCATTCTGCGTGGCGACTAATCGAGGGGGCATGGGAGGCCGTCACGGTGACTTCGGGCCTTTTGAAGGCCTTGGGGACCTTGGAGGCCGCTTGGGGCCTCTTGACAGTGTCTCGGGGGCGCCTTGGAGGCTCTTGGGTGAATATTGGGCAGTCTGAGGACGCTCTTGGACAATCTGGGCGCTTTCGGAGTCCGTCTCGGGGGCCTCTCTATGTCGTCTTCGGGCCTTTTGGGGGGACCTTGAGGGCCGTCTGAGGGGCGACTCCCTCGGACCACTCTTGGACCATCTTAGAGCCTTCTTGGGCCGTGTTGGGGCCCTCTTGAGGCGCTCGTAGGCCGTCTTTCAGGCCATCTTGGAGGCTTCATGGGCCGTCTCGAGCTGACGGAAGCCCGAAAAGGTTCTATTGCGAGCATCCATCAAACACTGGAGCAAGACCAATGATTGTATCCTCTTCGGGCCCTGCCGGAGGCTCTTTCGGAGCCATCCTGCGCCGTCTTGAGAGACTCGTTTACAGTCTCGAAGCCATCTTAGGCCGTCCCAGAGCCATCTCCTGGGTAGTCGAAGGCCAGACTGTCAGACTGGATTGGGCCCCAAGGGCCAATCTGGCCTGGCCATATTGGAGGATTTGGGTTATTCGCCAGACTGGATTCGCGTTGGCTCCCTCGCCAGATTGCCCCCGTTTGCCAGATTGGGCCTGCCAGATTGGCGCCAGATTGGCTTCGACTACCCAGATCTCGCGCCGCCTTGGACGCGTTTGGGGCCATCTTGGCGGCCTCGGTGGCCCGTCTTGGTCGTCTTCGAAGCCATCTTTGTGTACCGGGGACGCCCCAGAGAGGCCGGGAAGGCGTCGAGACGCCTAGGGAGCCTCGGGAAGGGGGGGGGGGCTCAAGAGATCACAATAGCCCTGCCTGATAGCATTTGGCGCTCCACCGCGCCGCAACGCGCCAGAGGGCACACCGGGGACCTCTGCCAACGAAGGGACATGGGGAGCCCAAAGCTGCGACCACGAACCCCACTTGTTTTGACGCGGCAATCTCAAGGTGCAAGAAACAGTTACTGCGCTGAAACCGATTTCGCCCGTGGGGTTCGTCAGGCCGCTATGGGCCGCGGACGGCATCAGTGCGCGAGCGATCTACAATCAAGATGCGGTGGCAGCAAAATCTAGATGCGGTGGCAAGACAATGTGCGGTGACGGTGAAATCTAGATTTGGTTGACACCACAACCCACATCCCGCACTGCGGTCATCTGCCTGGACGCCTTCCGCGGAAGGCCCGCGGGAGCCGGCGGCAGCAAAAATGGCGGCGGGCTCCGCCGGCAGAAGGTCGGCGGAAGCAGCACAGCGGACGGCCGGCAGAAACCAGTGGCAACGTGTTCGGTCGGTGGTTCAAAGATGGAGTTTTGATGGATGGGGCTCTAAGGATATAGGGGAACAAAAAGTGACACAAACATAAAAACTCGGAGGTCCGCGCGGATTTCTCGGATCGGCGCTGGGGCCCCCCGGCGGCGCCTCCGGCGCCGCCCCTGGCGCGCTCCGCGCGCCAGGGAGGAGGGTCCGGCGCCGCTTCGAGAAATCCGCGCGTACCTCCGAGTTGTTATGTTTATGCCACTTTTTGTTTCCCTAGGACCCCTAGGATAGGAAGGGGTCCAAGAATGGATTTACATTGTTTGAGGCACCTCGTCTTCAGGACCCCATTCTCTTCAGGACCCCATCTTTGAACCACCGATTCGGGTTCGCAGAACTGCAGAATCGGTTTACGGTCGGACCGAGGTATAAGATCGAGGTCTGTTCAGGGGGGGCGCCCTGGTGTTCTTCGTGTTTGTTGACTGTTCTTGTGCATCCTGGGGGAGGGTACCCTCGAAGTGTGCTTCAGTTTGGCCGGCGGAGGATCTCGCGTTCTTGAAGGATGTTATTATGTCTTAGGTTCGGTTGTATTTTTTCCTCGTCCCCGTCACCCGTTCGTCCTCCTTTTTCGCCTCCATCTCCGACCGATGCCATGAAACGCCGCTGGCCGTTGAAAAAGAAGACAACATATAAAAGCATATGATTTCGGAGATCCACGCGGATTGCTCGGATCCACGCTGGACTCCCCTCCCTAGCGGGTCAACCAGCAGGGGGTTCACTACCTCCTCAGGGAAATCGAGGATCGAGCACGAGGGAGGATCGAGGATCAAGGAGGTCTTGGACGCTTCTGTGGATCTTTGGAAGTCCTGGGGGGCCCTGGGAGGTCAGAGGAGTCCGTTTCCTGGAGGAGGTGGCGATCCTCTTAGTGTTGACCCCCCTCGGCGTCGCTTGCGCGATACCTCCCGATTATCTTAGAGTCGATGTTGGTTCGAGTTCTCGCGATAATTTCCCAACCACCCTGTAGTTTGGGGTCCTCGTTTTGAAGAGACAGCGCCCCACGTTCCTTCTCTCCTCCTCCGCCCCCTCCTCACTCCTCCCATCAGCATCATCAGCAGCAGCATCATCCTTATCATTATCATTATCATCACAGCATCATCATCATCATCATCATCATCATCATCATCATCATCATCATCATCATCATCATCATCATCGTCATCGTCATCGTCATCGTCATCGTCATCATCATCGTCATCATCATCGTCAACGCCACCCATGTCGGCCTCCCTCCTCTTAGAGTCGATGCTGGTTCGAGTTCTTGCGATGATTTTCCTTGCGTGCCAATGATCGTATATTTGCTATTGATCTGCGCGCCCAGCGTGCACTGAATCTCGCGATTGATGATGCAATATTTGGGCAGCGGCTGGAAGCTGTTGGTTGATGAGATTATGTTGGTGCCGTTCCGAGCACATGTGCTGGACTTCTGTCCGACCCTATCCGAACATGTTCTGTGGACCTGGACACCGCAGCTGGGGACCAGCAGAGCTGGATAGCGCCAGAGCTAGAAGCCAGCATTGACAGAAATAGACGATGACCCATACATCGGCATTAGTCGGCAAGTTTGCCGCGGCCCTGCGCCAGGCCGTCTCTGCAAGCGCGCTATTGAGTCTGAGTCCAGCCACGCGCAATGGTGACCCTTCGCCAGAGTTACCTTCAGTGCGCAGCTTTCGGGGGGTAGTTTTCCGTAAAGTTTTTGGTGACGTTTCCCCGGGTTCATGGATGTGTGTTTGTTCCGGGTGGATTGCAGCAGGTGCGTCTCGTTGAGAGCGTCCCTAGCGTCTCACTCTTTGGAATTATTGGCTTCTTGCCGAGGCCCCGTACACGCAGTATTCTGGTGTGTATACTTGTCAGAAGAAGACGTTCCGAGCCATGATTGTGGTCTCCCCTGATGCCATGATGGCCAGAACGTATACAGATATTCACGCAGAGAAAGGAGAGGGATAAAGAGAG